GTGATAAGAGATATACTCACCACTTCTAAAGGCAGACCAATCTCTACTGGACAGCTTGGAAACTGTATTTTTTTTTTTAATCCTTTTCTTGTTATAGGTTCTACTTACAGGTCTTAGCTATATTCTTTGGAGATGTACAGAATTTTAAACTTAATCCTTTTTCCATGGCTGTCTTTCAAAAACTTGAAGCAGCTATTTTGTCCTTTAAGTCTTCTCATACTCTGTTCTAGACCACACAATCCAATTTCCTTCAACTGCCCCATCTACATGTTATGGTTTCAAGTCTCTCACCACTTGTCCTATAAACACGCAATTATATGTTCATATCATTCAAATTGCCCACCCAGAATAAAACAAGATAGTCTAGGAATGTCTGACCACCACAGAGCTGAGGGAGACCATTACTTCCCTTGCTCTAAATAATATTTACACAGTGCAGGTTTACTTTATTCAACACCTTTGCTAGACATACAAAGATGATTGAGATTCTACTCTGAAAAAACTTAGGAGTATAGGGCAAAGGAAAGTGATATATATTTTTTTAAATTATAAATCAAACATGATTGTAGGGGTACACACACACACACACACACACACAAAGAGCCTAAAGGAGAATTGTAGGGGTGGGGTGGGTGGGAATCAATGGGATATTGTCCTGAGCCTAATATTGACAGGAAGGAATGGGATTAACAGTATAGGTAGAAGGAGTCCCCAAAGAGGCCAAAGGGCTATTGCTTCCCTTGTGATAAAGAAAGGGGCCAGGTGAAGCATGTATTACGTATAGAAACAGGAATTAAGGTCCCAGAGCCTCAACCTTCTCTACCTGGTAGCAGACAAGTTAATCTGCTGAAATGCCAAGCAACAGCAGGATAGAGAGCTTAGGGCCCTATCAAACAGCTCAGCTCTGAAGCCAGACTGCTGTGGTCCTGTGTTTTCCAGCAGCATGACCCTGGGTCTCAGCTTTGTCTTCTAAAAAATGAACATGATAACAACTCCTATCTTACAGGATTACAGTGAGGAACCCGAGTTAATATATATTAAAACTGTTTTTGACACATAGTAATGACTCATTAAATGTTACCTATTGCTGCCACTGTCAACTCAAGTTCCCACTACATACATTTTTTCATAAACAAACTGGCTTTTCCCTTAGTCAGTCATGATCCTTGAGTCACTGTTCTATGTCCTTCATGCTACCTTTTCCTTATAAGAGCTCATTTTAACATGTATTCAGAATCTAATCTAAAGCTATTTCCGATTCTCTGGTCACTAAAGAAACAGGTTCTCCCGCCCACACACACACACACACACACACACTCCCTTCTTGCCTCTCTGTCTTATTTCTTAATTGTATTCCTTGGTTCCAAGTAAAATGGTTTTCTTGCAGACAAAGTTCAGTAAAACAGCTTCTCTGAATTCTCTTCCAGTCACAAGCACACGTTTCTTACATCACCCCTCCCCCCAAATACAGGTCTTAAGGTCGCTGAACTTTTTCAAATGGTCTAAATTCTTGTCATTTTTACCCTAAAATCCACTTTTTTAAAAAAGCAAACGTTCCTGATTTCATTCCAGCACCTGTGCCTTTCTGATTCTAATTAGTTCCTAATCCTCCTCTCCTCAGAATAACACATTCAGGTTTTGCAATTCTTGTTGCTAGTTCATCCCACCATTTAGGAGCATATATGAAAGTTACATGCCTAAAGTATCCAGTTCCTGGCCTCCCAGCCTTTTAGTTAAAAATATAAGCAGTAGCATATCTAAAACTAGCAAGTTCATATTTCACCTACATATTTTTTTCTTCTGAGATGTTTTTCCCTTCACTGTCATTAGTAAAATTAAGCTAGTTAAAATCCACATTCAAAATCTCTGGTTAAAGTTTGCTTAAAATTGGGAAAATTTGTAATCAGTTTAAAAATATGTTTAAGGAACAACAACAAAAAAAGATTTTGGAAACGTTCCCCAAGGTATTAATAATGTTTGTCTTGATAGCATTATGGATGACACACATCCTTTTATTTAAATATAAAATCATAATTTGGTATTGGAACACATTTTTGAAAAACACTAAAAGGACATATAGCAAAACGACAAGTGCCCCAGAGGAAGGCCCTGTGGCTACTGAAAGTGCCATTTTGGAAGGTGGTGAAAAGCCATTTTTGAGGCAGCAAGTCTTTGGAAGATGTGTGTTTGAGACAAGTTATAACAATTTCAAGGGATATGTGGTCAGTGCTGGGACGTTATTACAATGAGTTGCTCTCTGAGAGGGTGAGTCTGAGAGGTGATGGAAATGTGTGTGGATGTGTTGGGTAGTGGGAGGTTAGTAGAGGAATGCATGAGGAGATGCTTTGGAGACAAGAGACTCTAACGGCTGAGATTTGTATGCACTCAACTTTGAGCCTGTTTATGTTGTACTTTGCTTCTCTCACATGAGAGAGGATGAATGAGAGTATGTTATTGTGGTTCTTTTTATTTTGTAGTTCCTTAAGTTTTGTGACAAGCAAACAGAACTGCCCCCCTCTCTAAGCCCAGGAGGAATGAAGCAGCCTACCTACTTGTTTTGATCTAACAGGTGCTGTTCAGCTATAGCATGAACTTTAATTTTGGAGGCACTGTTCAAAGTGACTGGAAATCAACAATCTGACAGATGAGGACAACTAAAGACATCGAAACTAGAATTTGCAAAAGAAATACAACTAGATATGAACTGTGTTAACGATTCTCAGGTAAAAGTATAAATGACATTTACCTTCCAGGTGGTCAGGCTACGTTATGTACCACAGTGGAAATAAAAATTGAAGTGTTCTATGAGATTATCATCAGTGTGACTCAGGAACGAGAGAACTGAACTAGAAGATAGGGGAGATGTGCTTTAATGTTGTCACTAAATAGTTGCATGACCTGCAGTAAGTCCCTGGAGTTATAGGCAGCTAGTCTAGGTCACAAACACACACACACAAAAAAACCAAACTCAGTGCTGTTGAGTCGATCCCAACTCATAGTGACCCCTCCCCGCCTTGGGTTTCCGAGGCCGTATCTCTACGGAAGTAGATTGCCCAATCTTCCTTCTGAGGAGTGGCTGCTGGGTGTCTAGGTCACAGAAAAGCCTTTTTAGCTTTAATTTTCTGTGATCTAGAGAACTATACAGGCAAGAAAAAGCTTGGCCCTTGGCAATGCCAATTCAATAAATTATCTGGGAAAAGATTTTTTTTTTTTAGCATACTAGCTTGGTACTGCGGGGTTTTGGGGAATGTTCTCTTCCTTGCCCATATATAGGTTGGTAGTCCTTGAGAAGGAAGTGTTAGGTCACTCTGGCTCAGTTCAGCTACAGGTTTCACACTGGCCAAGACAGAGGAGTACACAAAAGACAGCTCTGTGTTCGGAAAAAGATACCAAAGTTTCAACTCAGGAGCCCTGGCAAGTCTCAGAGCCAAGATTACATGAATCAAGACACCACCACCATAAATAGATAGTTCCCCTAACTATAGTCAAAATACTTAAGGAAGGAAAAATACAGCCTCTTGATTAGGGAACTTGAAACACTTATAAAGAGATGGTAACCACCACATTATGCCTTCATCCTTTATGCTATTATTATCAATCTTGGATAACTGCTTTATTTTTTCCCCCTCCCTTCATTAATGACAGAGAGCCACACATAGGTAGATATTCTATTAAAATTTAGGAATTTATAAGAGAGATCTGTAATAATCTAACAATCTCAAGCAGCTATCTCAGAGAGATTTTACAAGTGAAGTCTTTTGATTCCCAACAATCCCTAACCCTAATCTGTTCCTTACTCTGGTCTTCCTCTCCTCCATAAAAAGCTTTTCCATCTATCCAGATGCTCCAGCAAAAAACAGAAACAAAACCAAACAAAATCCAAGCATTGTTTTCATTCATGTCTTCCCCACCACTACTCTCTTCACTACCCTGTCATCTAATACATCAGTAAGTCCTGGCCCTTTCTCTCCACCTCCACTGCTTCCACTGGGTACCACGAGCCACCAACCCATCTCAGAGCTCCCACGGCAGCCTCCTCACTGGTCTCCCTGCACCCACACCTATACCTTTACAATCATTCTTCATTCACATAGCAGCCAGGAAGATGTCTTTAAACTCTAAGTCGGATCATGTCACTCCTGCTCCCTTGCTTAAACTCTTCAAATGGCTCCCTGTAATGCTGAGAATAACAGCCAAACTCCTAACTATGGTTGACAAAGCCCTACTCATTTCCCCATTCCAGGATTCCAGCTCCCACTGAGACCCCCGACCCACCCACTCTCACCCCTCAACTTTCTTTTACTCTGTTTTTGACAAGCTGACCTTTCTGAGCCAGGAATGTGCCAAGATTATTTCCACCTCAGGGCATTTGTATGTGTCACTTCTTTTTCCACAAACACTCTTTTCCCAGATACTCACATGGCTGATCCCTTTTGAAGGAGCCCTAGTAGCACAATGGTTAAGTGCTCAGCTGCTAACCAAAAGGTTGGTGGTTCAAACTCAACAGCCACACTCCATGGGAGAAAGATTTACAGGCTTCAAAACCTTATGGCACAGTTCTACTCAGTACTATAGGGTTACTTTGAATCAGAATAGACTCAATGGCCATGGGTTTGTTTTTGGTTTGGTCCCTTTGGCTTTTCAGATCTTAACAAAAGTGTCACCTCCTCAGAGAGGGCTTTGCTGGCCACCCAATCTAAAGTAAGCCCCTCAAGGCATACTCTACCACAGTTTTATTTTCTGCATGGTAATTACCTCTATTTGAAAGTAGCTTCTTTGTTCTTATTGTTTATCTCACCCCACCAAAACAGAATAGGGACTTAAGTCTGCCTGTTTATTGTTGTATCTTCCAGTCTCACGGAAATGCTTGCTATACTGCACAGGTACTCAATTATGTGCTGAATTAATGAATAATTTAATGAGACAGTTTTTCTTTTATTATAATAATTATAACTTTGACTTAAATCATTGTACCATGTGGTTCAAATATTCTTAAATACCTTTTATGTTGGAAATATCAATATTGAGCTCTCGAAGTTTCTCACACGTTTTCTCTATACACTCATAGACAGACTGCAGAATTTCCTTAGGGTCCTGTTCCACCCATCTTTGAACAAAAGAACATATTTGGTTAGTCTACAAGAAAGTAATATAAACATAATAATTTATATCTCTAGAAATGTTACTTATAAGAGCATGGCTGATACATAAATTTAAAAAATCAGTTCAGAGATTTTTAAAAAATGATAATAAGAATAATGAAATAAGATCAGCCATCAGTTGATAGTTTTTGAAGCTAGGTTATGGGCACATGGGGGAATTCACTGAAATTATATTAAAAATATTTTTTTATTTAAAAAAAATCAATTCAAATTTACTCAAAAGTTTATTAAATGAAATTTTAAGGGGCTATGCATACTTTTTGGTTGATTTAACAGATGTACCTCCCACTACTGGTCCCTATATAATGTGAAATGAGGTTGAAGGAAACTTAATGATTCACTGGACCATGGAAAATATGAAAATTTCTTTTGGCTCATAATGTTCGACTTAAACAAAGCATATCCTACTTTCTAAAGAAATGATTTTTAAGTAAAGAAAAGCTTAGCCTCCTTCCATTTACATCATTCTTCATGCAACAACTGCTCATTTGAAAGGAGGCCAGTAGCAGGCCACAAATAGCAAATACTCTACCTGGTTTTAAGTCCTGTTTCAAGTCCAATAAATAAGGAAATTAGTTCTCTGATTATTCCTTATACCTTGTGGGTTTGATGAATTCTGATCAACTAGCTGCACGTTTTCACTAGTGAGTTCTAACTAGATGGAAATGTAGCAGAGCAAAAAAAATTCTGGAAAAGTCAAGTCAGTATACAAATCTCTTATGCCATTTTTCTCAATTTTTGGTTGGAATTTAGAGGAAAAATTTTAATTCCTCCCAATAAATATTTCATATAGACAAGTGATTGGTCCAAGTTTTCAGATCTAATCCTAGTGCAATTTTGGTAAGGCATGAGAGACCTCAGAGGGATGAAAGGTTGTTAATAAATGAGAAGAGGGGCCTGAGAGAAACAAATGGCAACTTGAGGAAGCCCAATAGTAGGGATTACAAACAAAAGAATCCTATCCTCAGACTTGGAAGTAGCAAGGGAATTCCAAATGCCTTTCTTTCTCTGCCTGCCTCCCTTGTTGTTGGATGACTTTGAGTCACATAGTGACTCTATGTGATAGAGTAGAACTGCCCCACAGGGTTTTCTAGGCTGTAATCTTTTCGGAGCCGCTGGGTGGGTTAGAACTAGCAACCTTTTGGTTAGCAGCCAGGTGCGCTGCCAGGGCTCCCTGCCCTCTTCAGGCCTGGTGAGATAATTCCCTTTCCTGAGCTTTGAGTTCTGTCCCTAATTTCTCTTTTCCCAAAAACCCAATCTCCTTCCACGTATTTCTAATTTTCATCTAAGATCCATATATCCTCTCTCCAGCTGCACAGTGATCAGACATTTTAATGTCACAAGCATAACAATAGCTTTCATTATTAAACAAAGGAACACTCTATAAAATGGGGGACAATTTTTCATAGATACTCAACTATAAATTTGATAAGGCATATTCTTTTTTTGTTAGTTAATTGCGGTAAACTTTACAGTGAAATGCACAGATCTAAAGGCCACAATTTATTGAGTTTTGACAAATCTAGCTAGTATCTCAGACAAGATAAAGATACGAGAATATTTCCATCACCCCAGAAAGTTCAGATGAATAGAACCTGCAGTATGTGCTCTCTTTTGCCTGGCTTTTTTCACTATGCACAATATCAATGAGATTCATCCATATTTTTCCACTATCAGTTCACTTTTTTTTTTTTTTTTATTGCCGAGTAGTATTGCACTATAATCCAGTCTACTGATGAGAGGCATGTGGATTGTGTTTCCAATTTGGGGCTATTATGAACAAAGCTGCTATAAACAGTTATGTATGTCTTTCTGTGGACACATGCTTTCATTTCTCTTAGATAAATTACTAGGAGTGGGATGCTGCAGGTATATGTCTAACTTTTTAAGAAACTGCCAAACAGTTTTTCAAAGTGGTTGTATCATAGACATCATTAAATTTTAAATAATATACCCAACATTATATTTAATCACAATTATTACCTATGAATACTATTCCCAAAATGATTTTGGAATTAACTGAATACTTTTTTAAATGTTGTTGTTGTTGTTATGTGCCGTCGAGTC